CAACAACAACAACAACAACAACAACAACAACAACAACAACCACAACCACAACCACAACCACAACCACAACGACAACGACAACAACAACAACAAAACAACACAAGGCAAAGTGAATCTCAAACCAATTTCGCACAACCAAGGGAACATTGGCAATATTGGCAAAACTTGAGTCCATCGACACCTCGGCAAATGGCTCCGTGACTGTATCATCTGCCAGCAATGTCAAAACGCATGGCATCCTTGTACACGTGTTTTGCGCGCGTGGAAACTGAATGCCCGAGATGCTCTCCAGCAAGGAAGACTTGCCAGATGACTGCTCTCCTACCACCACCACTCCAGGAAGCGGGATTTCCTCAGCTTGACACACATCGCGGGCTCGTTCGATCAAGGCCAGCTTGTTTAGAACTGGAGCCATCGTATCCTGGAGCGCTTGCTCGGCCATCTTGCTCAAGCGGAAAAGTGGCACCGGATTCCACTCCTTGAGCTCTAGAATTGCGGTTCAAATTTTACTCAATCTTAGTATGACTGAGTATGACAAAAACATTCAGCAATCTTAGTATGGCAAGCATGCACATAAATGCTTAGCAAAATAACGGTTGGTACAAGACATTCAAGGCTGTTGATAGCAGCTCGTTGAACATCCACATCAGCGGTGCGTTGGACCTGAAGCCCAGCTTTCTGAGCACCAGGCGAAAAAAAGCGGCCTGAGACTTGATCATCTCCAAGCTGAAGGGGCATCCGGAGCAAGACCCAGGCTCAAACATGGGAGCTATGATCCACAGTAGCTATCTTTGGAGATAATTGCTATTGTAGGTGTGGCTCTGCATCCATGTCCATGTCAAGGTCGACATTTCGTAACTGTGAAGGAATCGGGAAGGGCTGTGTGAATGCTCATGCCATCTCATGCCCACCTTCAGACCTAGTCACTAGTCGAAACTCAATACCAACCTGTGCCAACCTTGTTTGTGGACAACACGCTTTTGCTTGTCTCCTCCCAATTTCAACCCACTAAGATGCACAACAAGGGACTGAGACAAGCAGTGGCAAAGGAGGCATGTCTTGTTTTTTTTGAAACTTCATCCGTCGCTCGAGGCCTTTCTTTTCACCTCCAGGGGGATCGTTGCCGCCTTGGCGACCTGGCATTTCTCAAACAACAAACACCTCAGAGACACGGTGAAACCATGGGAAACCTGCAGCGGAACAATTTAGTCACAAGGCCAGGCACAATCTCTGAGAAAGGATCCTGGTCAGCGCTTGGACGTGGAAGCGCTCCTTTAAATCCAATATCAATATGCATCCTTATGCCACAGTTCACGGAATTCCTACTGATCCGCAATTTCGGATTGTCAAACTCAAATCATTTGGATTCGAAGGAAACCCATGGAAACAAGGAGTTTGTCACCATCAATGTTTTCCATCATTTGTCACCAATGGTCATCAATTCCCAGCTCCACTGGCGCTCCGCTCCGATATGCTCCGCTTGATTCCCATCTGGCCTCGCGGAACACGGCAAAGGCGCTGGATTTTGGTAGAAGCTCCGGCACCACCTGGAGGGCTTCAGGGTCAACGATGGAGTCACCACCATCCATGACTCACAATTGATGTGATTTGTGCCAAAGATGACAATTGAACCATATGTTTGGTCCAGAATCGACAAGTAAACACGAACCTTCGATTGAGGAATCGCTTGCGCATGCTTGCGCAAACCCTAGACGTCCTTAGACTGACCACAAACCGAGAGAGGAGAGCGAGAAAGAAAAAGAGAGAGAGAGATGATAATTTTTGAAGTTTAGAACATGGGCCGTGCCTTTATGGATTTGGGGTATCCCTCGAGGTGGAATGTTAGTAAGTTATCAATTATTCTTATTGGGTCGGACATGACTGATAAGGCTGTGCATCAAAACCCCCGGTCCCCGGTGAACATCAGCACAGATTCTGTTCAATGGGTATTGAACAGGGAACATGTTCAATGGGTATTGAACAGCTGGAACTGTAGGAGGGCATCCCTAGCAAGAATTCCTTTCCCCCTTCCCCATTCCCATGGTGCACACCTGTGACATATCATGAGACCACATGCAGAATCAGGATTGTGAATACTTTCATTCTGTCTTGAAGTGGTTCCCCACACACAATGATACATGTTTGAGATAGAGCTAGACGCGAGAGAAACAATGGCAGGACATGCAAGGTTGGTATGGTAGTATGGCATCACAAGATCCAAGATTGAGATCCCATTTTGTGGAATGGACAAGTGTGATTGTGAAACAAGGGTATTGAACAAGGGGTATTGAACATGAGAAACAATTTTGTTCAATAGGCATTGAACGGGGTATTGATCAGCATTTTCGCCTGTAGGTGTTCCATACCAAAACCTTTTGACTCACATAAAGTATCTTGACCGTTTACACATACCCGAATAATTTAAGCAAACAAATCCACAACAGGGCAAACATCATGTCTTGAGATGGCCTATGCCTTGGCTCGGGGACCATGTGCCCATACTCCTGACGTGGTTCAGCTGTTCGAATCAGAGCTCCAGTCTATGATCATCGTTGATCTGGTTTGTTGTTTTTGGGGTACAGAATCTGCATGGCATTGCCTGTACACCGATTTGGAGGGAATCCTAACTCCTCGCCAACCGAAGGACATTTGAAGGTTACATTTTTGTTTCAGCGAGTGATGTGATGGTTGGTATGGTTCGGTGTTTTTGTAGCTCTTTGTTGGGCATTCCAGGCAAACTTTACAAAGATCCAACAAGTTTGAACGCCCAAGCGACCATGACCACAATTTAGGTATTTATATAGGATTGCTGGACTTTTCACATCTCACACGCCCCTTTCCAACCAACATCCACAGGAAGATTTGCAAAGCACCCAAGGGTGGAGCCAGGATGAGGGGGAATGAGAAAGAACAAGGCGAAAAGAATCGCCAAGGGGGTTCAACACTCAAGCAACCACGACTACCCCAATGTTCATGAAACAACTTAGAACCTGTTCGTTCAGCATTCTTTAGGAGATGTCGGGGCTCTCCATTTCTTCATTTGGTCTTTTCTTCTGTCCAAAGGTTGCTTTTCTCTGTTCCAAAAGCCAAATTAGAATTGATTAAGCGAGACCCCTCCCCAATGGCATGGTATGGTGAGTTCAATCTTTTCATATGTAGCAAAATTATTGTCAGGGGAGGTGACATCAAAGGGTTTACTAGTCCACCCTCTCCTCTCCCATTGCATATTGCATGGTTTTCTGATGCCCCACTCAAAAGCTTTCAAGTCAAAATTATTCCAGCAACTCACCCATCCCTTAGAATGGTAATGGAGTGAAGTGGATGGCCCATCTATTGTAAGCCGTGGGAGGACTTTTCTGAGCAACTCGATCACGTGACTTGACATGGCCCTTGTGGCGAGATGAGGTGATGAGGTGAGATGGTTTGACAGGGATGTGGAGAGAGCCGACCTCCCCCAAGGTGTCTTGACCACTTCCAAATCAAATCAGCTACGGAAAGGCACTGAAGCTGGGAAAACTCAGGTCAAGCATGGAAAAGCTTCCCTTTGTGAACAGCTGACCAGGCCACGGCGACGAAGTGAAGAGAGTCACGCTTACAAGAGTCATTCCGCTGGGGTCCAAGAGGCCCCAACAATTGGCTGCCAAGAGGCCTCAAAATCGGTCAGGAACTGCACGAGGCCATTCTGTGCCTCACTTTGCGCCTTGGGAGGTTTAGAGATGGAACTGGGCAAAGTCCTTCTCAAAATCATGGCCTGAACCTGGATGAGAGACTGCGGATTCCCATCTTCGCCACCCTGAAAACGACGTGCATTGCCGGCAGCGCCCTTGTCTACATCTGCGCTCGTTTTCTGTGTATATCGATTGGTTCGCAGATGTTCGCAGTCCCCAATGAAACCTGCCGAGAAAGCACACATTGAGGGACGCAAAGTTCGTTCACACGGTCTTAGGGTGCTCACTTCGGAGAAACTCCTCAATGGAATCTGAAGTCTAAGGTGCAAGTGAAGCGCCTGTCATTTTGGCAAGGGAGAAAATACCGCGTCTTTGAGTTCTTGCGATTTTGGAATTCTTTAGGGTCTGTTTTATTTTTTCAGCATTCCAAGTTCAAACCATCACTTGCCGGGTCTGCACACTCCAACGCATTGGCCGCGAGACAGCCGTTGAGTCGTGAGTCACTGGCCGTCCTACGTGGCTTTCACGTCGGTTGGAGCGGTGGCAAGGAGACCCGAGCGGCACCGTGACACTCACAACACCCGCCGCGGCAGCTCACAAGCCCACGGGGCGCAACTGCGCAACATGCTTATGTATAGAGGATTGTAGAGGTATCTTACCCTAAGCGTGGACTGTCTCTAGATATTCTACTGCCAGCTAGCTGGCAATTGTAGTATATTGCACTTCCGCGCTACCCTGAATAAGCTTAGTCAATGTCGACATGCTAAATAGCACTCTGGTTGGCTAGTGCGGGATGTGGATCCAAGTGTGACATAATCGAACACCAACACTCCCATTGTATATATAAGTGGAATGCCCACAAATGCCCTCACTGAAGTCATGTCAATGTGAAACACAAAGGTGCCCGGGCAGGCGGGTGTTGAATTCCGTTTCGGTCAGAAGCAGCCTTTAGCCTTCCAAATGTCTACGGATTCTTCAATCACCTTGAACCTTAGAACAGGTTGTAAAACAAACAACTCTATCAGAAAGCTTTGCTGCCATTCCTGCGGCTTGTTTGCCGCGTGTAGATCGTGTAGTCTGCATAAGTCATGTCAAATTTCTGCATCCGCCAGCAGTGACTGATAGCTCAGGTAGGCTTTCCATTCTTCGTGGACGCTCGCCTCCATGTTGACCTGATCACCCAACATGGACACGCCTTGTCACGATGTCACCACTGGGGAGACCAGCTTTTCTCCGGTCTTTTCATGACTCTGCCGAGCTATGCACAGCTGCCTTCTCTCACAAATCTCATAAACAAGACAGGACGTAGTCATGCTGAGATGGATGTCCAAGTGTAACTGTATCTTTCGATCTTTGTAGGTACTTACAATATTTACACTGGGAGGACAGCATGCATGGCACAATTCAAATTCAAATGCATTGGCTGCCGGAAAATCGGCTATGGTGCAAACTGATATAAGCGATGGACACAGCTTCGAGGTACTCTCTACATTCTGAATGTGACGATTCCAGGATACTTCAAGGCTTTCTGCGTTTGCAGCTCAATGATTCCTCAAGTCAGTAACCACTCTACAATGACAATGACTCAATTTTGTTGGGGCTAACTTCTTTAAGAACATTATGTGGAGAATTATGAACAGCATGACAACATCCAGAAGCCTTACTTTATGCATATTTGGCATACTTTACTTGTTCTTTTTGCTGGCTTCTTAAATGCCTAACTACGCTGGAATGAGACTAAATACAGCATGACAGCGTGATCTGAGACGTGCAGACTTTCGGTTGGCATCGGTTGACACGTCATATTCAGTTGTGAGCTGCAGTTGTTTGCTTTATTGTCAAATATTGGAAACCTCTATGAACCTGCAAACCTGTAGGTGCCAGCTCCAGGGCTCTTCCTTGTATATATGTAAGTATATAGTATCAAGCAACATGCAATGTTAAATCTCTTCGTCTGACTCTTTTTCTGCAGTTGCCAGAGTCCATCTCTGCACCAGCCAATGTCTCTTCTCGCGAGCTCCACCGAATTCTCAGATTTGAATCGCCTCGCCTGAGGTACATGTCTTGGCACATGTTGGTACTTGGACAACTCTCCCTACCAGCATCTTAAGAAGTCAGTACTGCCATGGTTCTGTGCAAATGACCATGCTTTGAAGACGTTTTGAGATTGGGAAGTGGATGCATTGACCTACCGTGAGGATGCAGCAAGAGAGGCCTGGTTTCCACGCCCAGGTTCTGACACTGAGGTGCTGACGTCTGTGCATGAGGTTATCCTGGCAAAAGGATGATGCACCAGTCTGCTCGTGGGGTCACTGGCTCACAGTGACCTCTCACATGGAGTTGCGAACCAACCCAAAGAGGGCAGTGGATGAAGGGCGTTTCAGGCGTTTCATCCATTCGCCCGGCCAGTTCGGCCTAGGATTCCACGAGAGACATGCTCCAAGCGTCGGACGGTGGCCTGGCCTGGTATCCGGCGTCGAGATTCATCGGCACCTGGCCGAAAAGAATGACACTCAAAAGCAATCAAGAGCTTTGCACACTTTGGCGATGTAACGTAGACTTTCAGAGTTGTAGCCATACAGATTTGAACCAAAAAAACAAAAAAATAGGTCTCAATCCAAAGCAAGTTAACAGTGAGACAAAGCAGCAGAAGTGAAGCCTGCAGCAAACTGATGGCAATTCATTGCGGTTCTCAACTCAACAACAGCAGGTGTTTCAACTTGTCTCGAGGCAAACAACTTTTGCTAAGCTTGTACACATTCTGTGCTGTCTGCCTCATCACAAGTATCCAGCATGTGGATCAACGAACCCAAGATCTCCTGAGCAGCGGGACTTGTAAAAACACCCATTGAGCATGTGCGTCAAGATGTTTCCATCCATGACAGTCACAAATAGGTTAGGCATGCAGCATGCACGTGTTTTGCAACTGGGCTTACGCACCTTTGTCCCATCTCATACAGAACATGTAGGCAGAAGGCGCCTTGCTCTATTGGACTCATTGAATTTGCCATTAAGGACACTGATTTGATTAACGATGTGGCAGTAACAAGAAGCTATTAGAAACAAGCGCATCGCTTCTAGTAACAAGTGCCTTACTAGTAGTAACAAGAAGCTATTAGAAACGAGAGTACGGATCCCTGGCACTTTTGTCCGGAAACGTTGCTCGGATCCGGTGCGGTGGTGTCCCCACCAGATGGGAAGGTGGTTTCCATGCGGCCACGTACCACAGTGAAGTTCAAACCTCCATGAAAATCTCGAAGCAAGTCTAAATACCACTCCATGGATAAGGGAGTCAAGAAAGGCGCAGAATATCATCCAAGAGTCCTTAAATCGAATCTCTCGCTCCATGGTCTTCTCGTTCTCTTCGCAGGTGGTGCTGAACAAAGAGCTGTTGGCTGTTTGCAGCTGTGTCCAAGAAACAAGCACAAACACAGCTGCTTGAGATGCGCCAAAGAAACCAGCAGTGGTCTTGAGTCTTGACTGTCAGACAACTCAATCTTCATAAACAGTCGAACATGATCAAAACAGCCAAAACCTTGTTACTAAAGGATGCTCCTTCTGAAACCTTTAATCATCTGTATGTTCATTGACACCGGACCTCACAATGCCAACGGACCTGGTCCAGTTTCCCGGAGCCGGAGCCCAATCTCTATCGCAGGGTGTTTCTTCCAAGCCTCCGTTTTCGCTGCGAGAACGAAGTGTCAGTCAGGTTTGAAGGGTAGCTGCGGGTAGCTCGGTCAAAACCAGTCAAAGTCTAGGAGGATCCACACTCTTAAAATTAAGGCTATCCAAATGACTCTTCGATGAAGCTATTGAGGTCCAAGCAGGTCCAACACTTTGATGTGCGGGCGCAAAATTATCTTGCCCGCATCTCACAGGGCCTGGAGGCTCACAGAAGTCGGCAAATCCTGGCCACAAACGTTGATCCAGTTTAGACTGATGAGATAACTGATACAATCTGATAAGGATTCAATAGAAGACTGAATACTCAATCAAATCACACAAACTACACATCTATTCACATAAGGATACATAAGGTTCATATGGTTCCATATGCTTCAATGAGTGTTATTGAATGGAAGCATCCCTTGCGAACCGCGACCACATGGGCTGACGCGTATTGCGGTCCTTGCGCGTAGAAACTGACATCTGGTCCGGTTCCTGCCGTCCAAGAGACGGCCGAAGGTGGAACATGTGGAGTACTGCGAGATAATGGGTATGGTACATCAAATGTGTGGCACATGGGTCGTACCTAGCTTGAAGTAGGATGAAGGACAGTACTGGGCATGGTTTCACCCTCCAATCGGATTTTCATCCGGTCACAACATGTGTTTTGCTTTGGGGTTTTCCTTTACGAAAGAGCATTGCCCTCGAAGGAACACGCTTGTTCGTTTTGGCTTTGACCAACCGGGGGACATTTGCTGTCCTTGCATGCCTTTGATAGACGTGATAGATTCCGGCATAACCCAAAGTCAACAACTTTTGCGATGCGGGATGAAAGCAGCGCCAGGACTGACTGATCTGTTGCGTGGCTGCTTTAAAGATACCATCGATCATGTCTGGTGGTCTTCAATAAGGACTAGGGGGATCGACAACTATGTGGTACCTGCGTCTGTCAATACTTTTGTAATTTTGGTGTCTCTCTGAAAAGTGGGAGACCGCATCACCAGTTGATTCAACTTCTACTGGTGTGTGTGTGTCCACCCCTGGACAAAGGGTTTTCCACCGCCACTCCTTCCACGTTTTTCAACTACCTTTTTCAACCACCTTCTACAAGCAGGGGGCTCACGGGTCTGTTCCTGGCGTGAGCCAACGAAGCTCCAGGTTCAGACTAGGATATCGAAAGAGGACGCTCTTTCGACGTACCTGCAACCTGAACTTTTGACCACGCTGTCTAATTGGCTTTGTTTGATTCCATGGTTCTTCATGCTACCACCCCCAAACCTACTCGTCCCCAGCAGCTGCGCCGCCGCTCGTCCGCTGCTGTCGCGAGTCTGCAGATGCGCATAAACACTTTGTTGAAAACACCTTC